AGAACTTGAAGCACCGGAATTGTGTGCCGTTTCGGGACTCTGTGGACCGACTAGTCTTCGCTCTGAGCAACATTCTGTCCACCCTGTCGCTGATCTTTTTTGAACAACCATTTTAAGTTTCTACCCAGATTGTCTAAATCAATGTCTGAAGGTCTAGACTGCTTTAGGCTAGCACAAGGCGCTTCGCGGTTTCGTCGTCCCTTTCCACACAGGTTTTTATCCAACTGCAGTGACATTGTTGTGCAGCCGTCAAGTGCCAGTTTTGTCACACTGCTTTTGCCCTCAATGATGCCTCGTTATTTTTGCTCGCGGCTTCCACGTTTATCGATTCAACCACAACGTTTTGACTTTCCAGACTCCCACATCCCAGTGCACCGCCAAGGTTGGCTGTTTGGACCCCCTATCACTTACACACAACTCTTGTAATGTATTCTCTATCTGTGTAAATTTTTATTTATTCAGTGTTCGTGAAGTAATGGACAGGTGGTTTGGCCTCGTTAAGGTTTCCTAGCACTGCCGACTCCACTTGCATACGTTATATAGGCAGTCCAGGTCAATTGCCGGAAGTATATCTAAGGCGGAAATTTCAAGCTACACTCTTCTCACTTTTAAACCAGAATATGGTATCAAGAATATCTAGTTTGTGGTGCTTTCCACCGTTGTTGCCATCGTTCATTCTACCGTTACTTGCGTATTACAGGCGGCTGAAACGGACAAGATGTTGGCCAAACGCTTCGAACAAGATTTACCGATGTTTGAACTACTTAGTAAATCGAACGATGAGATTCTGGCTGCGATTCGTGGAGAAAGCGCGGTTTCTGCCAGTTCACCTACTGGGAATGAAGCTGCTCGAGAGGCTTTAGCGAGAACATGCAGCCAAATCGAATCGCTCAAAGCCGATCGAAACAGCCTAACCGACCAGATGAATGCCATGAAACTCTCGGAGGACTTCTGTAAGTGCTTCCAACTCCCTCCCAGTTACTTACCTGCTACTGTGTTTGATGCATTCTTCATCTCGGATTACCTCCTGTGTTTGTGGTTCTTTATGGGCAACTTTGATCCTCTTAGATGGGTTGCTGTTTGACATTTCAATTCACTACCCCCCCTAGCAATAGGATATTTCCATGTGTGTGATAGGCTGAGAACGTGGTGAACTTGTAGTAAGCGTCCGTATGGGTAGATCGGTTTTGCATTCGCTTCACTCTCGTTTGAACAGCTCTTCTGTTTTGGTGCAATCATTCTAATGGACCCACACCAAAGAGAGGGAGTACCGAAATTAAGCTTCGCTCTTGACCAAGGATATTTACCTCTGGTGGTCTCTAATAAGAATGAAACTCGAGTCCAGTGCCTGTTCTCCTTGCTGTGAACTTGCCATACATTTACGCTAGGAATGAAGGAAGACTGTTTAAACGAGACTGATGCGACTGCGATTTCTAAATTTCTCGCAATCACCTAAAAGTGATCAAAGTTGTTCAGCATGTTTCAAGTGTCTGAGATGCTGTCTGACTTAGTAGTCCTGACAGGCGGGCCTGTCTAAACTGACCTTAAGCTACTGCCTAACAGTCGGTTCATGCTAAACATCATGTTATGATACTTTCGAACTTGTAGAAGCCAACAGTAATCATGGTCGTTGTCAGCACTACACATCCGACTCTCGGTTAACAGAAGGGCCTGATGACATACATCCTTTTCCAGGTCGCCAACGATCACAAGTCTATCATCTATACTCGATCGTCCGAGGGTTGAA